CCGGCCTGGTCCCGGGGTGCCCGGTTCCCTCAGGGCCGGGGGGAGGCCCGAGCCCGGCCCGGGGGCAGCGCCGCGGCCGTTTCACCCGGTGTCCCCGCCGCAGGGCACGTGCACCGGCCCGGGGCTTAATTACTGAGCTGATTTTAATACCATCCCGTCAATTAGGAGGGTTCACGGGGGGAGGCGGGGAGGCGGAGGAGGAGGATGCGGGAACGAATCCATCCCAGGCAAACCGAGCGGGAGGTTGTGCCCGTCCCGGGGCAGGGCCGGGACCTGCAGCCCCGAGGGCTCTGCCACCCCCGGGCCTCGGGGCTTCCCCGCCTCTGGGAAAGGCGTGGGGTGGTCTGGAAGTCCGGGAATAAAGCCCTTGTGAGGAGCATGGGGAGGTTTGTGTGAGGGGCTGAACCCTCTGCTGCTGGTGCTGAGCGCTCGTGGCGCGGGTTGGTTATGAAGCCTTTTTTACTTTCTCAAATCTCAGAGGAAAACACACAAATGCTCGTTTTTCTTTCTTTTCCTCCCCCTTACCCCCTCCTTTTTTTTTCCCTTCATGTAACTTCAAGGCCATTTAGCGTCACCAGTGGCAGAATATGCGAGGTTTTTTTGCGGGAAACCTTGTGCTTTGCATCGAGTGCGGCTGCAGCTCCTTGTGCTGCATGAAACGCTGGTGGGATTGACTCGGTGTTTGTTTTCTTTTCGTGCTTCGGTTCTGTTGTAGCAGCCACAGCTGCAGCCACAAACCCAGCTCCAAATGGCTGCTCTGAGCTGAAACACTGACAAAACCCACCAGGTGAAACCCAAACCCTGAGACCCAAACCCTGAACTTCCCCCAGGAATTAACTGGTGGGAAATGAAACAGGAGAAAAGGGAAGGAGGGATGGAAATGCTGGTAGGATTTGGGCACCGAGTAGTGAAAAGTATCCATCATTGCCAGCCTGAACAATCTTGAATTGCAGATATTTGCTAGATTTCTCTAGGTTTGTTCTTTTTAAAGCTGATTGTTGTGCTCGATTCAGATTATTTTCAGTTTCAGTGTTGCTGGAAAGTAATAATTTTTACATAACCTTCAAATTAAAAAAAAACAACCTAAAAAACCCAATCAAATTTTATGCTTTATGGTATGTGCTGCCCAGACTTGAAACATCAGAACTTGCATGTGAAACAGTTTATACACAAAATGGAGTGTTTTAATTATCCTAATGAAGTGGAAAAGGAAAATAAGCTACTCCAATAAAAGGCAATCAGTTGGTTAGAATATGAAATTTTATGGAATATAGAGACTTTATAGAATGTACTTGCAAATATTAAGGTGTTATGACGGATTTTTAGAACCAGATGTCCTATTTCAGTAGGTAATCACAGTTAGAACATTAGTTGCTGTTTGATGTTTAGTTTGAATTACAGAATTCTTGGCTGTGCTGAAATGTCTTGTAGGAAAATCTGTGGAGTTGGTGCTTCTCAGTGTTGTTCCGTCCTCTGCCTGTAAAGCTCCAACCCTCACTGAAATCAGGGGCAGTTGAACTTGCCCTGCAGAGATACTGTTTGGAGTTGACTTTGTTTTCAAAACTCCTTTTCTGTTTTTTATGTCAATGCTGATTCAACCACTGCTGACACCTGCCTGCTCAGCCAAGCCTTTCTGGTGCTTGCATCATAAACAAGCTAAAGCAAAGAGGTGATTTTTTTTTTAATTAGCAATTTTCTGACTCTGCTTTATTTCAATTCTTCAGCCTCTAAAATCGGTTTCATAGTCTCACTTTTTGTCTTCGAAAGGGGCCTTCAGAAAAACAAACAAGCATTTATAAACCCTTGCAGATGCTCATTGTAGCCTTGCTGTAAAAATTAAATGTATCGTGGCTGCCAAAGCTGTGTTCAATTTTCCTCTGACTCTGTCCTATTTATTTTCAGAACATGCTTAAAGAACTATTAATTCATAAGCCAAATGATCCCATTGAGTTTATGATAGACCATTTAAAGCAACACAACGATGATGGTAAGTGAAAACTGAGACATAAATAGTTCAATTCCTTATTTGTGAACAGCTGGTTGAAAGCTCTTCAGTTGGCAAATGGTGGAGAAAAGTTTTTAGGCTGTGTCTGGGGGGGGGAGGAAAGAAAAAGGTGAGCATTTTGGAATAGTTATAGGTGAGATGCTTTTAATTTCTTTTTCTTTTAGTGGGTAATCTAATAAAAAATGCACTTTAACAGTTTATAACAATGAAACCCTCTAAGGGAATAACAAAGAGTTCTAGTGTATCAATTATTAATGCGTTCTGTGCCCCATCTGATATTTCCTGTTGTCTTTAAGCTCGCTAATTACTCCTTTTGTCAGGTGTAAATTTGGTTTCCTATTCTACCTGGGCTGGCAGATTCTCTGGTTTTTTTTGATTAGTTTGTTACTAGCTGCTGTTAATGAGTTCCACTGCTCAGTGGCATCTCAGCTGAGGGAGCAGTGAGCAGTGCCTCCCTCTATGTGTAACAGAACCTGGTAAATTGAAGAGGAAGTCTCTCTTCTGCACAACAAAAGCATGTACACTCCATCAAATTATTTGATTTACAAACTGTTCACCCTTAGGCAGATTATATTTGGATATGCACAACTGAACTATAATTTCTGTTCTGCATGAGCTGTCAGGGATGGCTGGTGTCATGTGGCTTTGATGTTTCTTTAAAACCATAGTAAACCATTATGAAAGTTCTGCTGCAGCATCAAGGAAATCATTATCACCAGAGGTGCTGTGAGCTCTTGGTGGTTGGGATCAGATGGATGTTGATTGAAATGCTGCTAAATATACTTCTAAAAAAAAAGAAATCAAATCCTGCAAATTGTGTCCAGCCTTTTTCTGATGCAGGCAGCATGAGTAATCAGCCTGGTTTTATAGAGCCGTGGAAAAATATGTGGAAGGATTTCGTGTGGTTTGATAGAATGTTGGTCACATTTCTTCACATTGAGCTAACATTTGTCCTTAAGCCCCACAGAATTATCTGAGCAGAACCAGGCAGGTTTCCATTCCATGACTTTGGTTCTTAGAGGCTAAAGATAGAACTACAGCAGTTGCTTGTCAAAGGAAAAGCACTGACTGCTTTTGGGCTGGAAAAACCTCTTACAAAAGGGAAGGAACTCCAATTAAAATTAAAGCCTAAATGTTGTTTTAAGAATAAATTATATGGCAAAGAATGTAACAAATCTGTAGCAGAGTTGATTTTACTTTTTGATCATGGTGGAAGGTGCTGACTATTTTGAAGAAAAAAAAAACAAACCAACCCTTATTAGAGCCATCAGTAAAGTGATGAATTTTCATGATCTTGCCTTGCTAGACAGTTTTAGCCCTGGAGAAAATTTCAAACAGAGATGTGTAGCAAAGCAGCATTGCATCTCCTCCAGGTGTGAAGCTGGAAAACCTTTTTAATTAATAATAGGATCTAAAGTACTCTTAAAAACATGAACAAGTCTAATTATGATTGTAGCTTCCAGCTGCCTTAGATCTGTAGGTCAAATATGTTGGTGCTTAAGAACTCTGCTGTTCTGTCCTGTGCTCCTTCTCAGAACCTTAAAAGAACCTATCAAGACTGAGAACTCTTTCCTATACAAAGATGCTTGTTTTCTCCATTGTATCTTGGATTGTGCTAATAATAATAATAATAAAAGGTTTCAGGGTCCAAGTGGCATTTCTGTGAGTTCTTCCTTTCCAGGAGTAGAAACGTAAAGAAGAAAGGTAAAAAAAGTTCAGCAAGTGTTCATCACAAATGTGTTTTTCCTGTGTGACAAAGGGTTTCTCTTACAAGCCAAGCAAATGTTCTTGTGTTAATACTAGTTGTAGAATTTCGTGGACTTAAATGGAGCTCAGTGAATCCAGGTATTGTTTTGTGATGTTCCAGGATTCATTTTGTTATTAGTAAAATAATCCTTGAATACTAAATCTTACTTTCCTTGGAAGAGTCAGTCCTATAACATCCCATTAAGAATAAACATGTAATGTGATTTGTTACTGAAGCAAAAAGGATTTTTCTACATTCTTCTGGCTTCATTTAGCTGCTGGTTTAGTCCTGCAGTGTTAAATAATGA